TGGGAGAAATTCCTGTCTTGCCTTCCAAATGTTCCTATGACTACGCACCACCACCCCCACTCCAGGTCTTTTGTGAGGGAGGCAGGATGAAATGGTTAAATAATAAGAAGAAAGTGAGTGTTTAGGGGCAGCTGGATGGGCAGCAGCTCTGCCTGGAAGGGAGAGCTGACCGCAGAAACTATGCCAAGCCTGCCAACAGGTGTGGTGGGCCTGGCAGGTGAGGCGGCCAGACTTGGACACAGCCTGGCCAGGCCCCTGGCCTCCGGTCAGCCAGGGGATGGTCTGCCCCATTCTACCTTTCTTCTTCTGAAGAATCCCTGGCTTTGGGCCTGGCCCATTCCTCTTTCATTAATCCCAGTGTTTAGGTAAAGAGACGGCCTCTGGACTCCCATGACTTCCCAGCTCCACAACCAGCTCGGGTGAGTGGGAAGGTACAAAATACCACTCAGGATGTTTGCAAAACCCAGTAGCTTCATAAAACAGCATCTGAGATAAACAGCTTCCTGTACAAACCCTCCCATGTAGCGACAGCTGGGACCCCCTCAGCTGGCCTGGCAGGGGATCCCCCAGCAGATGACCAGCCCTAGATGCTGCTGGGACCCAGAATTCGAAGGTCTGCTGCCCAGCAGAACACACACAGTCCACAGTGGACCAGTGTCTTGACAATAGGACAGACCAACGCTGAGTGGCACGCTGCTCTGTGGTCAGCACTGACCACAGACCTGAATGTCTGAGAAGTCCAGTGTGTGGCTTGGAGAGGACCTTTACACCTCCTCGGAATTGCCAGTATTTCTGAGCTGCACATGGAGGACCAGGGCACAGGACGAGGCAGGTGACCTGGAGGGGCTATGTGGAACTTCTTTAGTGACTGAAAGGCCATCACGGGGCGGGGGACTCGATGGACTGTGTGCAGGACAGGGCTCAGCTTAGCTGCTTCTGGCCAAGTCCCAGCACCTCTCAACATGGTCCGTCCCACTACCAGGTAGCTCTAATACACAGGTATTGGCTCAATTAAAAATAAGGACATTTGAGTGCTTCTAACTCCCACTTTCTAGTTGGTACACAGCCTTTAGCTGTTAACAGAGTGCTTTTCATGAGCCAGACGCCAAGCTCAGTGCTTTGCGTGTCACTTCATTGAATATGCACATCAAATCTACGAGGTAGAAGCTATTGGCATCCTCACTTTATATAAAAAAAAAATCACAGACCCAGCCGTGAGCCCAGACCCAGTCTGACCCACAGCGGAGCGCCTACTTCGACTGTCGTGGGGCCGTCTACCAGCGGAAAGCAGAACGGAAGGAGTGCGCGGAGTATAGGCGAGAGCCAGACAAGGGCGAGAACCTCACCCTCGTCAGCAAAACTTCTCTGGGTGTGTGTCCACTCCCAGCTTCCCAGACGGGACACTTTTTTGGGGCAACTGCCAATTTTGAGAATAACGTCTAGTCCAGAGGCCACGGCTCCTTGCTGACCTCTCAGGGCCGAGCCTCTGTCTCTCCCCGTTCTTTGCTCTCCCTCCGTTCTGCCCTGGTCCCACCGCTCCTCTCTGACTTGGATCTCTGGGAGAGGCTGAACCAGTCACAGGAGACTGAGAGTGGAGAGAACGCTCAAAC